TTCCCGGCTTCCGCTGTGCAGGCTGACTGTGACTGGTACAGACGGTCAACTCGGCCTCCCAGCGCGGCGAGGAAAGACCGTAACACTGTTAACACCCTAGTATAGCAAGCTTCTTCGATGAGGGTTGCCCGTACCCCGTAGGCAATAATCGGCGACCGTCTCGGTCTCAGCGCACGTCGAAGAGATACCATAAGAACCTGTCCGGCTTTCGCGATGAGTGTTACCTAGTCGCGGTAAACGCTCACTGCTGCTGGCTTCTCCCTCCGTCCACCCCTGTTTCTCTCCGCAAATACGATTCTGGCTTCTCAGAATCGTTTTTGAAAAACGACACTAGTTTCTGGCTGCCAGAATCGTTTTTCGAAAAACGACACTGGTCTCTGGGCATCAGAATCGTTTTTGAAAAATTCAATAAAATTAAGAATTATACTTTACTAGCTTCAAACTACCTAGTGAGATCCCGGGGAGTGGTGGGGCTTTTCCCCCTCATCTCCCCCCCCCCCCCCCCCCCCCCCCCCCCACTCTAACCCCGGTGATTGCTACCTGTACGCCGTAATAGATAACCGACTACCTTCTCGGTCTCAGCGCACGGTGAGGAGAGGCTTCCACGGTGAGGGTTTAACTGGTCGCGGTAGAAAGTAATCACAGGTTGCCTAGCTCTCACTCCCTTCGCTCCTGTTTCTCTTTGCAAAAACGATTTTGGCTTCTCAGAATCTTTTTTGAAAAACGACTCTGGTTTCTGTCCATTAGAATCGTTTTTGAAAAACGAAACTTCAGCGCTCTATTTGACACTGCATGCACTATTTGACACTTCCAAATTAAACTGAATAAAACAAAACTTGTTGAAATTCCAATAATGTAACAGCCAGATAGACAACATGTTTTTTAACAGTATTTAATGTTTAATGCTATTATTTATAAATTAATTATATAGAACACCCCTTGAGATTACATGCTTACAAGCATAAGGAGCAAAATTGCAAGTGTTAGAATACATTTACTGTAGCCTACTAATTTATTTAGATAAGATACATTGCATTGATTATCAAATATTTATGTTGCATTTACAATATTAGAATTTCAATTTATGTGAGCACAGGAACAAGTAACGATATATCCCTCGGCTTCAATACTCTCAAAATCAATACCCCCCCCCCCCCCTCAATACACACACACACACACACACACACACACAGCATAGAATATGCAACATTCGCAACAGATTATCTGATATTAAAACTTCTCTGTAATACAATGTTTTCAAAAGTGCGCTTTTCCTGGACCCAAAAGTGACACATTATTATAAATGCCCTGAGAAAATAAGGAAACAATCACAATCGTTATGTGGGTTTTCGCGGCTTTTCCAAGACGTCCACGCCGAAAGCGCCATCTATTTCCGTTGTGTCGAGAAGTTAATGTGTTGTGTTGCGATTTTCTTTGGTGTTGTGTCGAGAAGTTAAATGTGTCGTGTTGAAATTGTGTTGTGTGTTGAGTGATTTTGTTGTGTGTTGTGGCACTTATACGCTTCCATACATATTATTGCGGAATGACACACTATAAATGGACAGTAAGTTAAATATTTAACTATAGATTTAAAAAACGAGAGTGAAAATAGAGGCGTTAAAATGTCAACTCTAGTGTCGGACTCGAACCAACATATTGTTTAATTTCTGCATACTTCCCTGTCATTGGATACTATAGTAGGCTTATCACCCGTGTCGCTGTCCACTACACCACCAGGTCGCTGTGCGAACCACTGCCGTTTTGTTATATTACATTTAATTGCATCAAGGGTTTGCTTTTTTATAATTCTATTATACCCAGATTGTCAATATAAAGCGCTTTTACTAAATATCTACTATTCTACAGTAGGACCCTAGCTTTTAGACCAAGTTCTTCTGTATGACGGGCGGACTCTGTGTTTCGTGATAGCTGTCATGAAACGTAGGGTCCGGTTAAATGCAGGGTCCGGGGGACCCTGTATATTATATTCAATTATGATGATACAGATTCCGGGACTCGTTATTTCAGAAAAGTTTCTGAAATAACGGGTCCCGGACTTTCTGTCATGGGGGACCTTCTGGTACATGACAGTTAAGCTGTGCAATATATTTCTTGAAACGGACGGAACTCATTTATTGTTAAAGTGCCATTGAAAAATATACTCATTTAATTTTGATTTACAGTTAAAATAACTTATATTAAAAAATACATATGACCTATATATAAATGGAATCAACCCAAAATGAATGTATTTCATGGTTCTCAAGGTATAAAATGGCTAACTACTCGCGATGCCGACTGTCATTATGGATTTTCAAGCAATACGGCTTTATTTACAACATGGCAGGAGTACCATGAAAATTTGACTCCCCTAAAAGGTGACTCCCCATTATAAAAATCTGACTCCACAGTCAAAATGCCATAATGAAAATCAAACTCCCCTGTCAAAATTTCATAATGAAAATCTGACTCTGCAGTCAAAATTTCATAATGAAAAATCAGACTCCCCCAAGATAAATTTTGACCCCCACCCTCATAAAACTCAATAGTTGTTATTTTATTTGAGTATAAGACTTTTATCTTGAAGTATGCATAATGGAGGATATATCCTTTTAGTATACTTTATGAATAATATATTGGACATATTTGAAAGTTCGATGTTAAAATATTGGGTGGAAAAAAATCAGGAAAAATATTCATTTTCATTCGTAA